GCAAGCTGTTCTGCATCCTGATCGGATATTGTTATCGTTGTGTCGTCGGCAAACATGGTAACATGAACGTTTTCTAAATATTGTGGAAGATCATTTACATAAAGAAGAAACAGCAGTGGCCCAAGAACTGAACCCTGTGGTACCCCAAGTTTCACAGCCTGACTGTGTGAAATTGAATTATTGCATCTCACTATCATGGTTCTATCTGTCATATATGATTGTATCCACTTTATTATACTGGCTGGAAGTCCTAGAGGCGCCAATTTATCTATTAAAGTTTCAATACACACTGTATCAAAGGCTTTTGACAAGTCGAAAAATAATGATAGGACATATTTGTTGCTGTCAATCTCTTTATATATATAATTAAGCAAGTGACACGAGGCTGTTTCAATCGACCTGTTTTGCCTGAAACCATGCTGACTGCTGCACTGTATATAACAGTTAAAATTGTGAAATTTTACAGAATCACACTTAAAGCATCAAGTCATGAACAGGTCCATCGAATTTTCGAAAATAATTTACAGGGTGGTCGAAATTTCCATCTAAAACATAACATCGAGAAAACTGATGAAACACGATTTTTTCAAATGGAAACCATACACTATTCTATTATTCTTGGATACTACAAAAAAAAGAAGTATCAAATTCATTAAGAATGTCCTATACCCAAAATACACCACTGGCGAGATATATCCGATTTTGGGAAATATTTGAAATGTAAATCATTCGAAGCAATACCAAACCAAGAAAGCGTTGAAAACAAATGAAGTTAAAACAAATATGTCAAAATTTGATGCGATATATAATTGACGTGTATTTCGTAGTTTTCTATTTGTATGCAAAATGAATATTACTGGAGTTTTTTCCCAACACCAAATCGTTATTTTTACACCTCGACACGTGTTTCGATCACCAAGTGATCATCTTCAAGAGGAAGATAAAACTAGAAACTACTCAGAACTAAAGGTATTTATGCTATTCAGGTACATCATACAGGTAGGTAATCAGTAATACCACCCATACAAGTGTACCACCCTAAAATAATTTTACAATTGGCCTTTCTATTATTTTACAATATGTCCTTATGTATGTTTAAATGTTACAGTTATATATAGAACAATTTTCAGCTATATAAAATTAGTTTCACAATATATATTTACAATGTGTCTTTTTGTAGTAATCAGTAAACCCAACAATATTATTTCAACAAGCTATATAGTATGCTATTTGGTATTATGTTATTATTATGTTTACTTATTTCTACACTCTCATAGGCATCTAGTTGTTGTTAACTTGTCTAACTAATCTTAAAGAACTGAAGTCTATGAAATGGTTTTGTTGCAAAATATGATGGGCGACTGCTGATTTTTCAGGTCTTCCATATTTTAAGTGTAAGAGTTCATAATCAGCAACGACTTATTGGCTTATTAGATTGTAAAATTTCAAATAGCCATAATAATAATGGAGTTTGTACAGTTGCAAGCTCCTCTCCAAAATACCAAGTTCCTAAATACCAATTAAACGAAAATTAGCACAAATCTTTTACTGGTACCAAGAAAGATATTGTGTCCGATAACTCACAAAATTCGAGAAAACCTGGCCAAGGAAGTTCTCATATAAGTAGAAAGGAGGTGGGAGTCGCTATTCTACAAGCGGAAACGCAGTCAACTCTCAGCCATTTTATCAATATAAATGACACATCCAGTCATTCAGGAGCTAGCACAGATGATTCGAGGGAGCAGGGGGAATGGCAGACCATCCCGTCCAAAAAATCCAGAACACGAAGAAACCTTGTTGTTGGAGAAAACAGTGAAAAAATCAAAGGTGTCCCGAAGTTTGTTTACTTGCATGTGTGTAGAGTGGATCTCGCAATCACACCTCAAGATATTCAGCCCAACTGAAAACAACTTTTCCCAAGGTCACTTGTGAGTCACTAAAATCAAAATGTATAGTGGGATTATACGAAAAAAATTTCAAGACCGCCATGAATCCGGAAATATG